GGGAAGAGGTAACTATGGGGAGGAAGTGGGAAGGGAGCTGTTGCATTATGGTAAACTGGTCAATGTCATGAGACAAAGTATATGTAAACTGCTATATGGAAAGTGAATTTGCTCTGTAAATCTTCACCCAAATCACACGCACACACACACACACACACACACACACAAGCTTAAAGCCATCTGAGATGCATCTCTTGGTCTATCTTCATCCAGAGCAAAGAAGAGTGAAGAAAATCAAAGATGGATGGAAACAGTTAGTCCAAAGGACCAATGAACTATGGGAACCTCAGTTAACATGACCCTGAGAACAGAAGTACTAGATGGTGCCTGGCTACCAATAATCACCCAGAAAGGGATAAAAATCACAGATCCTGGAAAAAGTGGGAGAAAAAAAATGCAGAACAAAATTCAAAAACATAAAAAAAGATCAGGATTATTTGTTGGACAGAGACTGTGGAAACCCATGACACCATGACCTGAATCACTTTTCAGGCCTCGAATCAGAATCACTCCCATGGCTCAACTCTCAGCCAAACAATAGACAGGCTTATGAGCTGAGCAAGTACACCAGGGAGATGTACTCTTTAGAATAGAAGGGAAGCATTTGCACAGTGAGGAAAGTAGATAGGCAGGAACATGTAAGTAAGAAGGACTCAGACAAGGGATAATCACAGACAGGAGGAGAGAGGAGAGCTGTTACATTGTAGGGGTTGTAATCAGTGTCATATAGTAAAATGTATATGAACTGTAGAATGGAAAACAAATCTGCTTTGTACAATTGCACCCAAATCACAATATATTTTAAGAAAATAAAATTGCTATAGGATATTATAGATATATTTTTTAAGCATATTGCTTAAGAAAATTATCATATGATTGATAGGTTTCAGCTGACCTTGTAGACTAAACCAGACTAAGAAAAAGGACATGGCAGTCTATTTCTGAATAAATTGGCCACTGAAAACCTTATCAACAGGAGTGGAAAGTTGTCTGATCTAATGCCAGAAGATGAACCCAATTGACAGGAAGACATTCAAATACAACTTCAGAAGAGCTTCTTCCTCAAAGTAGAGTTGAACTCACTGATGTGGATGGATTAGCTTTGGGGATGTTCATTTTCTGATGTGACATAACTGACAATGAGAAGAAACAGCTACAAACATCCATTAATAATCAGAACGTGGAATGTACAAAGTATGAATCTTGGAAATTTGGAAGTTGTCAAAAATGAAATGGAATGCATAAACATCAGTTTCTTAGGAATTAGTGAGCTGAATGGAGCTCTGGTGGTGTAGTGCCTAAGGCATTTGACTGCTAACCAGAAGGCTGGAATTTCAAACCCACCAGACACTCCTTGCAAGGAAGACTGAGCAATCTACTTCTGTAGAGATACTGCCTTGGAAACTCAAGGAGGGGTTGCTATGAGTCAGAGTAAACTCAGTGGCTTTGGAAAAAAAAAAAAATCTCAGTGTTAGTAGTGTGAAAGGGATAGGGTTAGAGACTGAGAGACTGGTCAGGAAACTGCTGTAATGATCAGAGAAAAATGATGAAGACCTTAGCTATGGAGTAATAGTAGTGTGGAGAGACAGATCCTAGGAAGTAGAATAACTAAACCAGGTAATTGATGGGGTGTAGGAATAAGATACAAGTAAATATCCAAGATGACTCCCAGGTTTCTTGTGTGGACACTTCCGTGGATGGTTAGAGTTGCCATTTGCCACAAGGAAGGCACAGGAAAGCATTTACAGAAGAGTAAGTGTTTTTTTATTTTTTTAATTGTGATTTGGGTGCAAATTTACAAAGCAGATACATTTTACTCTCAACAGTTTGTGCACATTTGGTTTCATGGCAATTATTATAATCCCAATGATAAACCAGTCTCCTCCCATCTCCTACCTGTGACTACCCCTTTCCTGTGTCCTTCTTATCTGTATATTCCTGTTTATCCAGCTTTCCCCCTATGCAAATGCTGCCCTTCTGATCTCTCACAGTTGATTGATCTGAGGGGTGTATCTCCTGGGGTAGGTGTTCTGTTCATAGGCCTTTCTAATGTTTGGCTGGGAGCTAATCCATAGAAGTGATTCCAGTTCCAGGCCTGAAGAGTAACCTGGGACCATATAGTCATGGGGGTTTTACCAGTCTCTATCCAACCAGTAATTCTGGTCATTTTTGTGTATTTGAATTTTGTTCCACAATTTTTCTCCTAGTCTATCCAGGATCTCCAATTTTGATGCCTTTCTGAGTGGTTGGTATTGGTAGCTGGCACCATCAAGTTGAGAAGAGTAAGTCTTGATGTGTCTGTAGTATAACCAAGTAGAAAAGTATAACAGGAAGTTGACTGTGAGTCTGGGGCTAAGGCTAGATTGGAGACAGATTTGTGTGTTTTGACATTTAACTGAAGACATGAGTGTGGATGAGATCACCTGGGAGGAGTGGGCAGGACAGAAGATGAACTGCTGCGGAGCAAGACCTGCAACGGGAGGAGCCTGCCTGAATTGGTGAGCTCTCCTGACATTCTTAAAGAAAGGTGATCAGTTCAAAAATGCACACTTGAAAAGTTATTTACTCGAACTGAGAGGTAAGAGGAAGAGGAGATGGTTATTATCCTATTTCTTCAGGAAAATGACATCAGATTCAGTTGTGGCCATCTTAAAGCATACTTATCCATACAATTACCATCACAAAGCAATCAGTCAGCAAACCTCTAAAGTGCAGAAATATGCTTTCAAAACACTTTTCCATAGCTTTATATACACTTATTTCTGGTCTAGCTTTTCATTTAGACTATTATCAAGTCATTGTAGAACTTCTTTTACATTTCATGCCTCACTTAGAAGATGGATAGTTTGGAAGACTCAAAAATAATGCAAAGTTCCATGTACATCCACTTACCTGACTTCTCTTGTTTTTAGGCTGGTAGCAATGACTGTGATGGGTGAACCAGAAAAGACCAACAGCAGCTTCCTTGCCCTAGTGCTGGCCAGAACTTCTGGGAACATTGATGTCCAATACTTGAAGAGGAAGTGGGCATCTCCAGTGAAAGATGAGAAGAAGCAACTGCGTTTGCTTTTACAGGAAGCCCTATAAAAAGAGGAAATATTGTTTTATCATGAAAGATAACTGGGCATTATAGAGAGAACTTTTATGTAATGACCTGTATTTAAACACTGTAATTACAAGGTGGATAATTTTACATCTGCGTGCATGTATATTTATGTATATAAAATGAATATATATATATACACATACACATATACATATATCTGTACAAAGTTTATTTTACAAGAATGTTTACTTCAACATTCCCACTAAATAAATCAATCCTTTTGAATAGAAGTAAAAGAACACTTTGGTATATATTAAACTCCAAAGGAAATATAAGTTAGTCATGTTCAATATATTGTTTTCTGAGACTATTTCTAGTTATTTTTATTAAATATTTTTTATATTTATATATTTAAAATATTATTGTCAGTTTATTACTAGACTATAAACAATCTACCATGAAGATGTATTTTAATAAACTATTTTCTTAGTCATACATAAAATTATATATCAATACAAGTTTAAATTAAAAGGAACTTCTCAGTTGAAATGACTTCTGCCAACCATGTTTCCTTAAAACTTCTCTTTAGCATCTTCTTTTGGCATTATTTGAATGTCATCCATATATGCAAGTGACAGGCATTTTGCGTTATGCCTTAGAATTAAAAATACTAAGTCTTTATACAGAAATAGTATAAGTAAATATATTCTCTTGAATTTAGCAACTCAGTTACAATAGGTATATAAAGATAGAGGGATTCTTGAGGTGAGGTCATAAAGTAGGTTCCCTCCTGAAGTACAGGATGACATTTATTAACACTTTTCCTCCTTTACCTCTATCTTGTACTCTTTCCTAGAATGTTACATATAGCACTGTTGACTTTTTATAGATATATGAATCTATGAGGAATCAAAGACAAGCATGTTTAAATCTTATTGGGTCACAAAATAGCTTCCATTTATTCAGCTTCTGGAAAGTGCCACCTTATAACTGAAGAATCTTATAACTGCACAGTATCTGTGAGACTCCTAGTTTTACATCTCATCTGATGTCCACTGAATACTTCCAACATTTCCCCTATGACTGTGTTTACCCAGCCTAAGTTTGGACATTTCCAGGGACAGGGTGCTTTGGGAGGCAGCTCATGCCATTAATGCCAGAGACAGCATTGTTTTTCTTTTGTTGGATTTAATTGTCTTTCCCACAAGAGTTCTGCCAGGGGAAGCAGCATAACACAAGGTAGGTCCATTCCAGCCCTGACATGAGCACTGACTTAGATGTTTAAAGGACCATCATGCTATACGCTTTCCCTTGAATCTTATCCAGATTAAATAGTCTGACTTCTTATATAACTCTTTTACCTTAGAGGTACTCAACTTTTTTTTTCCTTTATTTTTTCATTATTACTATTATTTTAAAACTATCAAAAAAACCCCTTCATGTGTGGTATACAAACAATTTAAACAAAATAGTGGGAGGAGCTCTGGTAGCATAGTGCCTAAGGCATTTAACTGCTGACCAGGAGGCTGGCGGTTCAAACCCACCAGCCACTCCTCAGAAGGAAGATGGGGTAATCTACTTCTGTAGTGATACTGCCTCGGAAACCCAAGTAGGAGTCACTATGAGTTGGATCTGACTTGATTCGATGGCAGTGCATTCATCATGAATGTATAAAGTGAAAGTAACTCCTTTCCCCAGGCTTTTGTTTGTACCCTGCAGAGGTTCAGCATCACACGTGTCCAGAATTTTTCCAGGCATCTAAAGCACACATACATGTACACAAACACATACACACTGGTTTGTCAAGATCCCTCATGAAAACAGTAAAATACTCCAATGGTTGGTTTCTAATCAGGTAGTTTGTGAATCTTAATTCTCTCCCCCACCTCATTCGCCCCTTCTTTGCATTCCATATCAAAAAAACCAAACTCATTACCATTGAGTCATTTCCAACTCATAGGGAATCCTATTGGGTTTCCAAGGTGGTAAATAAATCTTTACAGAAGTAGATTGCCCAGTCTTGCTTCTGCAGAGTGGCTGGTGGGTTTGAACCGCCAACCGTCTGGTTAGCAGTCGGATGCCTTAGGCGCTGTGCTACCAGGGCGCCTTCTACATTCCTTAAGAACAGGTGTTTTTTTTTTTTTTTTTAAAAAAAGACCAGAAACTTTTATCTGTCTTGTTCATAACTGACTCCCTACAATACCAGGTACATAAGTAGATGCTTAACAAGTATTTGTTAGACAAATAACTGAAATGATTCATGTTCCTTCTGAATTAACCTTATCTTTTATAATCACATTAAAAAAGGAAGTTAGGCAAACTCTTATTCTTAATGAATCCATGCTGTACCATAGTCTTGGCAATTTTTTGCTTATTTGACACCTGCTTAATAATTGGTTCTAGAATGGTATTTTTAATTGCTATCAAGTCGGTTCTGAATCATAGCAACCCTGTGTACAACAGAATGAAACACTGCCTAGTCCTGTGCTCTTCTCACAATTATTGCTATACTTGAGCCAATGGTTGCATCCTCTGTGTCAGTCCATCTTGTTGAGAGTCTTCCCCTTTTCTCTGACCTTCTACTTTGCCAAGCATGATATCCTTCTTCAGGGATTGATCCCTTCTCAAAGTAGGAGAGGTGAAGTCTGGTCATTCTCACACTGAAGGATCATTCCAGCTGTACTTGCTCCAACACAGATTTGTTCATTTTAGCAGTCCATGGTACATTCAATATTCTCCAACACCACAATTCAAAGGCATCAGTTCTTTTTCGATCTTCCTTATTCATCCAGCTCTCACATGCATATGAGGTTATTGAAAATACTATGGCTTGGATAAAGTACACTTTAGTCTTGAAAGTGACATATCTGCACTTAAACACTTTAAAGAGGTCTTTTGTAGCAGATTTACCCAATGCAATACATTGCTTCTAGAATACAGTATTTAAAAAATTGATATTACATCACTCCTTACTTATTGATATTGTCAGGTTCCAAACACCAGTTTGTTATGCAAAAATTGGCATTATGTGAAAATGGAGGATGACAACATCTGATCACAAGATGGAAGATGACTACATCCTTACATATCTGCCAAATTGTATAATTATGTAACTGCCAAATCATTGAGAATAATGGCCCAACCAAATTGAAATATAACCATCAGAGCCAGTGTTACTCTTACATTGCACCTTGGCATTCATTACTTCCAGACATACACAGTTAATACACAATAACAGTAGATTTACTATTTTCATACATGTGAAATGTCAGATAATGAGGTAGTCAATAAGTGAGGATCTACAGTCAACGCTTATGGAAGCAGTAGTCAGGAAATCAAATGACATATTGCACTGGGGAAATGTGCTGCAAAAGACATCTTAAAAATGTTAAAAAGCAAAAAAATGTCACTTTGAGCACTATGGTGTGGCTGAACCAAGCCATGGTGTTCTCAATTGCCTTACATGCATGTGAAAGCTGGACAATGAATAAGAAGAACTGAAGAAGAATTAATAAACTTGAATTGTAGTGTTAGCAAAGAATATTGAATACGCCATTGTGGTGGTTAAGTTTGTGTGTCAACTTGGCTGGGCCTGGTTGAGTGGCTCTGGACAGCTTAATGTAGTATTCCCCATGATGAGACTGGTAATCAACTCCATGGGGGAATCTACTGTGAGCAGGTGAGGCTTAGGGATGTGGTCTGCTTCCTGGATATAAGAAGAAGCCTTGTGGAATGGTCTCTAGCTTATGGCATGCTTGAACCCTGTGTGTAGCCATGCCGTTGTTCAGCCGCCTGCTATGCTCTGCCGACCTTGGGACTTTCAGTGGACTTGAATTAATGGTCTGCCGTGTGGTTTGGTAACATCGGGCCTGTGCTTTTTTTAACTTGTCAACCTTGGGCTTGTCAGTTTCAGCAGCCAGCAGTTGTCTGAATGAAAAAAAAAAGCCTATAGCTCCAGTGGGCCGGGAGCAGGAGGCAGAGCTAAAGACCAAAGCTGAGGGGCTTTCACCCAGCCCCTAGAGCCTGCCACTTTGAACTCAGACTTAAGGCCTCCAAACTGTGAGAGAATAAACCCCTGTTTGTTCAAGCCATCCCATTTGTGGTATATTCCTGTCATAGCAGCAGTAGGTATCCAGAACAGCCATGGACTGCCAGAAGAATGAACAATCTATCTTGGAAGAAGCCAGAATACTCCTTAGAAGCAATGATGGTGATACTGACACATCTTTCTCCTGTGGAGCAGCTAGTGGGTTCCAACCACTGGCCTTTAGGTTAGCAGCCAAACATCTAACCACTACACCCCCAGTGCTCCTTAATATAATGGAATAGAGAGGTTTTTATTTCTGGAAACCAGAGGCTGATCCCCATAATAGTTCTCTCCTCTACCACTCAGCCAATCAGTTGTAAGGGGATTAGGGTGGGAAGCAACACCCTTACTCAGGTAATGGCCTTGATCCTAGGTAAGGGGAGTTTCCTTGGTTTATGACCTGGATCACTCTTTATCTTACCAGAGATAAAAGGAGAGAGAAACAAGCAGAGAGAGGAAGCTCATTAACACCAAGAAAGAAGAGGCAGGAGTGGACCTCATCCTTTGGACCCAAGGTCTCTGCACTGAGAAACTCTTGGATTGAAGGGAAGATTGATGCCAAGACCTGTGGAGATCTCTAAGGGATGCCAGGCCCACAGAAGGGAGCCAAGTATCTTCCCCAGAGCCAACAGAGAGAGAAAATCTTCCCCTAGAACTGGCATACTGAATTTGGACTTGTAGTCTACACTGTGAGAGAATAAAGCTCTGTTTATTAAAGCCATCCCTTGTGCTATATCTGTTATAGCAGCACTATATAACTAAGATTCACTCCCACCAAAATAACTATTTTTTTTAGAAGATGTGATAGTTGAAGATGTGTCAACTTGGCTGGACTCCAGTTGTGAGTGGTGGTTCCCATGATGGATCACATGACTGAGTTCTGAGCGGCCGGTCTGCCCAAGGGGAGTTTCCCCAGGGGTGTGGCCTACCTGCAATGCTATCCCAAGGACAAGC